AAAAGAGACAGGGGCCGGGCCGCGCCGGGCCTCGCCGCCAGGTAAGCCCCGCCTCGGGGGCGCTGAGCGAAGCGAAGAAACTGCCACTGAGGGGTGCGGGTGTCCTTAGTATCGGCCGTCGCCTTGGGCTGTGCCTCTCAGGCGGCAGTGGCGGCGGCGGGCTGAGGGAAGGGGGTAGGGGTGGAGGGACAGAGGCTGAGGTTGCTGCCCTCACCCCACCTAGCCGCGGTTTTACTTAATGAAAGAAGTGCTAGGCGGCAGGTGAAGGAGGTCCCTCTAAGTCGCAGTTTTCATCTCTCACGAAGAACCCCTACCTTCCCTATCCGCCCGCCGGGCACCAGAGGTGGCGAGCGGCTGAAATAACGGGCTTTTTTCCTCCCAGTTTTTGCAGGCTTTCCTGAGGGGGATTTCTCCGCGGCGGTGAAGCTTTCCGCTGGAAAGATGGCCACTGAGCTCGGCACTGAGGGAGAGGCAGGTGAGGTTCTGCGAGCAGCCGGCTTCCCGCGCTGCCCGCCCGCCCGACACCTCCCGGGTTGGCCTACCCGCCGCCTTGGGGCTGCTGGAAGGACGGAGCGGAGGCCGTCCTCTGGGGAGCTGGGGTCAGTTTCTACAGCGGGTAGAAACCTTTTTGTTTATGGTTGTAGCAGCGAAGGCTGATCTTTCTGTAGCTCTTGTAGTGTTTGCTATAGTGAATGATGGCATCAAAACTATTTTTTTAGTTAGGTGAAGATGAGTAATTAAAGTTTTTGGTAAGGGTAGTGGCCAAAAACACATGCGTTTTTTGGTGATAATGCCTTTTTAGTTAAGAAACTACTGTATTTCCCATGCTTGGCTTACAACTGAAAGGCAAAAAAGCTGTCTTGCCAGTTACTCATACAATTTGCTTTATAGCCTACAATCAGTATTCTTCATTATGTATTATTTGTTAGAATTCTAATAATTCTAATGTAAGCTTAACGTGACTGAATCAAGGCACACTTTACTTACCAGAAAATTCCTGGCAAAAATTGCTTTTGTACAGTTTATACCTTTATAAATAGGGAATGGATTGATGTGCAGTCCCAAGAATGTTACCGTCTCTGTCACTGCTTAGTGTTGCTGGAAAACTTGGTAGCATGCGGGGAAGTAGGACAACATCACAGTGCATAAAGTGCTGTGGCTGTGCATCACTCATAATCAGAATTCCAGTTGGTACTATGTATGATAGCTTTAGGTGGCCAAAGGTGAAAGACCAGCTTTTGGTTCCAAGGACCTTATTAGCAAAAAAAGCTTCTGAGCCAGCAGAGTCATCCTGACTCAGAAGCCTGTATCTTCATTGAGCTTGGCATGCATATTTATTGTAGTGTGATGTGAACAAAGGATGGATTTTCAAATTTTGGTATTTTGCTTTTTCATAGGTATTTAATTTGTATGGGTGTAGCTTCTTATTTTATAAATCTTTAGGCTCTGAATAGAGCTCAGACTAAACTCACTGTGAAGTGGTAGGAGTTGCCTTTTCTATCAAGGAATTTAATTCTCTCTTTAAAATCTTAATATATTTTGAAAGGTGCCACATGATACATTTTAAGTTGGCTTGTATGCTGACTGAGATGTAAGTTGAGGCCCACTCCAAGTCTGACATATGGATTGCTGTTTTTCTTGTTTCATGAATATGAAATCAAAGTTTTAAAATGCTGAATGTGTGTACTATACATAAAAAGAGATTCTATAAGTGTTATTTAATGTTGTAGCATAAATATTTGTTGTGTTAAATATGTAGCTATAAAAAAGTTTTTTGTTATGAGAGGATAGCCTCAGGCACTGATGAGTTACAGTTTCACCAGCACCCAAACCCACGAATAGTAATTTCTCCATTGTGTTACATACTTTTGTGATAAGCTAATAAATACATGGGACTCTCATCAGCGTGTATTTAATGATTTACCGTTGAAGCTGAGTACATCTGTAAGGGGTATTTAAGATTTGTCCCCCTTTGCACCTGTGGCCTCTCATGTTTTCAGACTGCTTTGGCTGGTAAGGGCAGCTACTTTCTCCTTCCTGTTTCTTGGCATCCTTTTACTATTACCTCCTTTCTATCTCCTCTGTCTTCCTCTTATATCCTCCTTTAGAAGATTAGAACCAGAAAAAGAACTATGGGATGCATATCAAGAAAAATAGGCAAGATGTTGTTTTAAATTGAAATGTATGCATTACTTTCCTGATTTCCATTTTCTTCCTCTCTACCCATTCCTGTTACCAAGGTGTCACTTGGATTCTTATAAAATGGAGTATTTCAGTTGAAAGGAACCTACAATAATCTGAGTCCAACTGCCTGACCATTTCAGGGCTGACCAAAAGTTAAAGCATGTTGTTAACAGCATTGTCCAAATGTCTCAAGTACTGACAGGCTTGAGGCATTGATCACCTCTCTAGAAAGCCTGTTCCAGTGTTTGACCACCCTCTCAGTCAAAAAATGCTTCCTAATGTCCAGTCTAAACCTCCCTGTCTCACCTTTGAACCATTCCCACACACGCTATCACTGGGTACCAGGGAGAAGAGCTCAGCATCTCGCTTTGCACTTCCCCTCCTCAGGAAGCTGTAGAGAGCAACGAGGCTGCCCCTCAGCCTCCTTTTCTCCAAACTAGACAAGCCTAAAGCCCTCAGCTGCTCCTCACAGAACATCCCTTCCAGCCCCTTCACCAGCTTTGTTGCCCTCCTCTGGAGGCATTCAAGGACCTTCACGTTTGTCTTAAACTGTGAGGCCACACCAGTGCTGAATACAGCAGAATGATCACCTCTTCTGACCGGCTGGTTTTGCTGTGTTTTTGTTAGATCAAGGATCGCTCCATGAACAAGTGTAAAGATATGTTACTTCTCCCTTCCAGCCTTCTGCTGGTTCTTTCATTTGCAGTACAAGTAGTCTCTGAAATCCCCATAGCCAGTCAGATGAATAAGGATGTGTGATGCTTTAGTTGATGTTCCCAGCTCAGCAGTGTGAAATCTCATTATTCATTATGCTTTGCTTCTTACAGACTACATTTCTTCGTTCTTTTGGGTGTTTCTTCTAGATATACTGGACTGCTCAGATCCATTTATCAGCGAAGCTCTCTTGACCTAAGTTTGTTGAAAGCTTGTTGAAAACTGCAGGATTGAGTTCCGAACAACAGGTTAATTGTCAAACATCCAGCTGATTGAATTCAACACACAGCCCCAGACCTGGTGAATCATTAAGATGTGTATGTGTTTTTGTGGGTTTTCTAGGCAGAAACTTCATTTTTAAAATTACCCCTCCCAAAAAAATGGAATGTGAAAGAAATGGAAATCATTATTATTACATAGTCTTAGTAGGCTTTTTTCCAGTCCTAATTTCATTAAAATAATTGTGCTAAATAGAAGATATTTATGATGTTTTGTGCCTTCAAAGCACTAAATGTATTAAACTTAATTCTGACTGCCAGTCAGATTATCTAGATAATGGCCCGTGTTGTAGCTATGATTCTCACTTTGATATTTTTCAGATCAGAGGCTAAATATGTCACTTGGACAGTATGAAACAGATGAAATTTTGAAAGCTACTGCTGAGCAGGTATGTGAACCCCGGGATGGAAGTAGTAAGAATTTTTGTGATGAGGTTTTGTGACAAACATCTTTGCATACATAGCGCACAACCCACTTCAGTGTGGCCTTGCTTTGACTCCATCACGCATCCTTAGAGTTACTTGTTGTTCCAAGCAGCAACAGCAGAATAAAACTGTCATAACAGTGGATTCTGGTATTTTGGGTGCATTTTCAGCAGTTTGTCGCATGCAGACAAACATAGCCTTGTATGAAAGAATACTTGATTCCTATTTTAGTAGACTTTTCCACTTTTATAGACTTGTCTTTTCAAATAGATTGGTCTTGTGTTGGGATAACTTTTCGTGCTGGGTACTATAAGCCTGTCTGCAAGTCTGTGCAGAAGCAAGGACGTCAGCATTTCCCTGATGCTGAGATGCATGGAAATGAACTTAGCGCTTACACAAACTTGTGAGTGTTCTTTAAAGAGCCAGGTGATTCCTCCTCAGATGCAATTATGCTTTATATCAGAGCATCTTGAAAAAAAAATACTATTTTTGGAAATTGAGCAAGGACTCGAGGATTTTTGAACGTGAACCTGGAAGTGATCATGTGAGATATTGCGTATGATTACAGTACAGGCAGAACAGCAGCTTTGGGTTGCATATAAAAATTTAAAACTATATGTAGTCATGTGTAAGTACTAATACACAACTTATATTATTACAGAAAAATGCCTCTGGTGGTCATAGTATATCAGGATCCAGGATGATGGACCAAAGGTAACTGGTTTCAAATTATAAGTGGGAATACTACAAAGTATTCAAAAGAAATTGTCATATGTTTTTAAAAGTGTAAATATCTAGGTCAGCCTCATCTTATGTACACATGTTCACAGCTCTGAAAACTTACGAATGGAGGTCGGTAAAAGTGTTGCTGTAGCCATCATTTATAGACACTATTCTGCTTATTCGGTACATTAAATGCATGACTTTTCTTCCACCATCTGTAAAATAAAGGATGAGATACGAATGAAGGGATTTTCTAGTCTACACTTTAACATAATAAACAAAAGTGCACGTAAGACTGTACTGATCTAGGTAACACAGGTAACTGCTGACTGTTGAGGTCAGGTGGATGTATTTAAAAATGCTTATTTGACAATCTTGAACTAACAGTTGCATATTAGGAAATTGTTTAATAATCGTTGTCACTTTTTGTTATAAAATAACCTATCCTTGTTAGCTTTTAAGGCATTATCGGTCTAGACAAATACAGAGTTTTCAGAGAATTATTCTTGATTTACAAAAATATTAGGAAAAACTATATAAATAGGAGGACATCATTGTCTTATAGGCCCCTTTACTGTTGTATATGAAAGCAGTAACAAAGTCTAGTCTAATAATTTGGGATTCTCTATGAAATATTAATGTTGTATTAATGCTCATTTATAGTGTCACATGTTCTAGTTATACAGGAAATCTGCTGTTAATGATCATACTTTAGAAGTAGTAATTAAACTTACTAATTTGATTCTGGTGAATGTTGAGTTTGGAAACAAAGAAGAGTGACTGTTTTGTTCTGTTCTCTAGATTAAGAATTTTTTAAAACTAGTTTGTGATCAGAACAATGTTTTAGCATTTACAAAATTTTTTCTGCTTATGTTTTTCAACTTTTTAGCTTGTCAATTCTAATCACAGAGTATGATAAACAATTGGAAGAAATGAGAGAACAGCTGCAGCTTTATCAGGTATGGATGTTCCTAACATTTCAGACTGTACGTTCTTAGCATTTTATAGTATTAATGTCTAGGCCATTAGCTTTTGTCAATAAAGGAAAGCATGCCTGCACCATTCTTCACAAACTTGCTGGACTGCAGACTCCTCAAATGGATGAACAGAGAGCTTTTTATGACAAGGTTGGGAGATTGTCCAAATGGTAGTTTACCATGTGTTTGGAGAAGCAGTGGTGTGAAATGAAACATGCACACTTTTTTTCTCTAGGTATTCTGGTACAGTTGCAGGTATTTTTCTGGGTGACATTGAGACAAGGCACCTGTTTGCCTCTCTCCTAACAGGTCTGATCTTGGCTGTGCAGTGCAGCTCAGTCTTTCAAGTGTTGGTACACCCAGCCTTCTTCATTCTTAATAATTCTTTAATGTTTATTATCGTGGAGGCTGAGCTGGAGAGGGATCGTACTCCTTTCAACTACAGAAAAATGAAACTTTTTAATGCTTTGTATGATCACCAAAAAGCAAAGTGATATGTTTAATAATTAAAACCTGTAGCATACAGAAAGCAATTTTTACTTGTGAACTACAAGTGGTAGTTATGCTCTGGTTTTGGTTTAATGTACTTAATTTGTTTGATCTGTCCATCATAAAGATTCTGTAAATACAGTCTCTAAGCTTGGCCGATTTCAGAAGGCACTATGGTTTCGTTGCACTATTTAATTAACAAAACAGTCTGACTCATGTAACTGGAGTTTCTCCTCAGTTAATTCCTAAACTTTTTTTTCAAATGCTTACTGCATAAAAGATGAGTTATCTACCCTATCCCTAAAAAAACTTGAGTTAATTAAAAATCCACCTGTAAAAGCTATAAGAATTTCAAAAGGTAAGTTTAATGCTGATAATCACTTCTGAATGCTTCGATATAACAGGACTTAGCAGCAGTTTAAGTGGCAGCATGTGACTTTCCTTAAAGAAAGTGATTTTTCTTTACTGTATTATGCTGAATTGGATTGTCCATCTTTTAGAGTATGAATCACTTAAATGAGTGCTTACTCTTGCATGTTTTTGTGTTAGGAACAAATGAGGGAGATGAGACTAAAATTTGAACAAGTCGCCAAGGAAAATGAAAGGTAAGTAATTGCACTGCCCTATTACTACTGTTGGTTTTATTGATTTCTATACCTTAAAAAGCTTTTTTTATAGGACCTTGAAGTCTTTTGAATCTGCTTAATGGCTGAAGATTTCATACTTGCGAGCTTAATGTTAGGGTCTTTAAGTGGTTAATATAGATTACAGCACCAGGGTAGGTGATGTAACCATATCTCAAAAAGAAATAGGTATTAAACTATTTCACACTGTCTATTGTGTTTATAGAATGTAACTTAATAGATTTAAATATGACTTAGAAGTAAATAGTATGTACAGATTGAAGGTGCAGTATGCTTCAGTTGTCAAAAAAATCCCCTGTTACTTCGATACTTGGCTGAGCTTGGTTCTTTGAATTTCAGTCTGCATGCAGAGTTGAAAGAAGCTCTTGAGAAGCAACTAGAGGCTTTTCCTTTCATGCCTCTGGAAACGGATATTCCTGCAGATGAAGGCATAGTGAGAAACCTTCAAGAACAACTACAGCTGGCGAATCAAGTGTGTGAGATGAAACATTTGTACTGCTTTATTTCTCTTGTGCCTTGTCAGATTAGGGAATACTGTTTTATTTCTTGGTTCAGAACTCATTTGCTAGAGTTTCTTGAGACTGTTCTGAGGCCCTCTGGATTCTCTGTAGCTAAAGAAACAAGTACTTATGTATCGGCCAAGATAACGAGTCAAAGTGTTCATCTTTCTGCAGGGCAGGGGCCATCTTTCTTTATATATTTTCCTCTTACAATAATACATACTTATGTTCTTGTTAAAGCTCTTACTTCATAATTAGCAAATCAGCAATTAGACAGTTATCAACCTTTTCTCCTATCAGCATAAGACCACTCTAACACATGCTGTGCAGACCAATCACCTTCTTGTTCACGCGGCGGTAACTTCTCACAGTTCGGTGCTTTTCCACAGTTCAGTGTTGCAGCTGTCCATTGTTTTTCCCTGCCACCTTGGCACAACTTGGCAGTTTCTTATCTTTCTCCCAAGGCCTGTTTCTCATCAAAGCCTAGCTGCTTCTCAGGGGTTGCACAGAGCTGACAGGCCGATGTCGACTTGCCTGTCTCCCACATACTTATACTTTCAACTTAAAGACCTGAAGGGAGTTCATGTAAGAAGTTTTTCATATTCACTTGTGTCTGTAACTTTACCTAGATGACTTGATCTTTATATTGAATTCCTGACCAGGAAATTAATGAAATACTTTGTTCAATTCAAGTTTTTGTAGTAACTTGTCATTTTAATCAAAAACACTGTAATGTGATATGAGGAAGCAAGTATATGTGGGGTAGCGAAAATAATATTTAAATCAGAAAAAATAAGCACATTTTGTTGAGCTTATTAAAACGATGTATCAACCCTGTTGAGTATAATTAAGTTGAAGTTAAATTGACAGCTGAACTTTGATATTTGAGTATTATGTGCTGTAGGCCTACAGTAAATGACTATAAAAGTTTGAGCTATAAAATTGGTGGAATTTGAACTTGTAAGCATCTGTTTTTCTGCATCTGAATTTGTTATTTTGTCTGTGCAGTTGTAACGTGTGCAGAGAAAGGTACAGAAAATGGCATTTCTTCAAAATAGAAGTTAAGACTTCTCTTTTTAGACAATGATATATGTGGTATATGAAGGTATATGTGCTATAATATTTTGTGCAAACCATTGTACTGTAACTTAGGAAAAACAACAAGCATTAGAGCTCTGGCAGACTGTATTACAGGAGCTTGATCGACTCCAGCAGCAGTATGAGGAGCGTGGGACTGAAACGCAGATTCACGTGGCTGAAAAGCAAAAGCAGAAAGTAATTTTCATGTATATTGTTGTTAATTTTGAAATGTTTTTCTATACTGCTGAGATTCTGGGTCTGTGTGTAGTTAAAATGAAGTGGGGAGGTTCTACTAGTCCTGTTAAGTATTTTCCATAATAGTCATGTGAAGTTGAGTGGACATAATGTGGTCACTGATTCCTCAGCTAAATGTATTGTTACGATCGGAAAAATTCTGGTTTTTAAATATATGGACAGAAACTTGGGGAATGCACCGAGTCAGTGCCTAGATACATATATGTGCACCAGATATGCATATGCACATAAATAATTTGATCGCATGGTTGGAAATTCAACATCTGAAAAAGCTGCTAAAGATGTCTGAATTCTAAGGTAGAAGTCTTTCATGTTTTCTCTGATGTTTGAATCCTGAATTTTCTCTGTTAGATCATAGTGGGGTAGTGGGAAAACAGCCTATTTCCTGTTGTCATTCAGTAAAGAAGTGTGTGTAAACAGGTGAAGATTCAAGTTCACCAATATTCTTATAATGCTAGCTTGTGTTCAGCAGCCTGTTTCTCTTCTGCTGTTTCTGGGGACAGCCCTTCGGAAAAGTCGATAAAACCCTTCAGGAAATTTCATAAAAGCTGTTTTGCTCCTATGAGCTATGTAAAGATGCTCATTGTGTGAAGAACTAATAGAAACTTCATACCTATATGTACCTCGCTACAGATATTTCCATGTCTGTAAAGAGATGCTACAAATTTTTGAATGTTTCTGTTTTCAAGTACGCTAGATTTGTGGGCACAGTTACAGCTCACCCCTATAACAGATATGGCATTTTTTTACTGCTTTTTGGTCTTTTTGATATTGTCCACCTCAGCCATACGCTCTTTTCCTAGAAACAGGAAAAATACCTGTACAGCTATTGTGCTCTGTCAGGTTTCATAATTTCAAGTAATAGTTATGAGGATTCTCTTATCTATGTGTAGTTCAACGTTTTGCTCCTCTTCCCTTCCATTAGATTATTTCTTGTGTTGCATTGTTAGTCACTGGTAACATGCATATAGTAGAGCATACAGACTCACTGGTAGCTGTTGGAGGGTTTAGGGCTGTCAGATTGCACTTTCCATTCATAACTAAGTTCTTGGTGGATTTTTAATGCCATTGTAAGAAGAATGAGGTTGAGCTGCCTCTTATTTTTAAGTACTACTGGTCTCCCATAGAAAATGGCTTTTCAGTTAAACTTTTTTATTTTAGGTTTTGCTTTTAATGGAGGAGCAGAAAAATAGCTATCAAAGGTAAACAGAAATAGATGAGACCAACTAGAATTAGAATTGACAGAAAGCAAAGATGAAAGAGGATGCTGTTGTAAGGGTTGGATGTAATAAATAAGGGAGTCGATAGAATAGGCTTCTGGCATATGCTTGACCTTGAGACTGTTAGATAAACACAGCACGATTAGTAGGTACTCCAGCTCAGGGACCTGAGTCCTCTCTGTGCTCTGAAGACATTTGGCATGCTGCAGGTGATTTTTCTGTGTTACGCTAGTTTTCCTAGGATGACCAAGTTCATGTTCAGGGACTCAGGAGTTTAATTGAACATTTTTTTGTATGAACACAAACATCCTATATGTCAAAGAGCAAATTAAACATGTCCATACAGGCATTTTTTAATTAAGGGGTGCATGTCTGCTACTGTGCCTAGCAAAAATGTTTATAGTAACATCATAGTCTGTGTGGATCTTCAAAAGCAGTATTAGTGTATGCTTTCATATTCGGATAGTGAGTGTGTATGAGTTTTGGAAGGAGGCAATTAGTAACTGAGTGAAATTGATACATTTTTCAGTAGTAAATCTCATTTTCCAGATTACTAGGTCCACAACTAACAGCAATCTAATCAAAATCTACAGAGGCCCATAGAATTTCCTGCAACATGTATACTTTTTTTTTGAAAGTGTTTACAGTTGACTGTGAAACTTTCTAATTATACACTCTTTATTATGATATTGATTATAAGCAGCTCTGAATTATCTTTCTAGGATCAACTGACTGGCTTTCAGCAGTTGCCTCAGCAAGTGCATATAGGCCATGAGAAAATGGAGTTGGTAAGTAAAACTTTCTGAACAGTGACCTGGTAATTTTTTTTTCCCTAGTAGAGCCTCAAATTCTAAAAGGAAAAAGTCCTTCATGTATACTTGGCTGAAAAAGAAATTGTGTCACTCAGCTTTCCAAACTTCTCTAGGGATCTGTCAAAAATCAAGTAGTAATGGCTTTTTTTTCCTGAACTCCAAACACCAGGTCAGGCTGGTTGTGAGGTTAGTTCCTTAATATTATGTGAGCTCTTTCTTCAGGAAGTCAATGGTAAGCTTACACTCAGAATTTTAGTATGTGGTGAGCATACTGCAGTCACACATTAAAAACCATCTTCACAAAGGAAAAATTATGACCTTATATGGGCTAGCTCAGTCACATGTTTATCGAATCCTAGTTTGGCACTGCTGGCTTCAGTGTCTTTGTCGTTGACACTTTCAGGGATTTTTCTGAGCTCTATTCATCTTCTAGTGCTTCATCCATATCCTTCAATTGTGAGACTACTTAGTCTCTAAGCTTTAGCCTAAGACTTCCAGGACCGACAAACAATTTTAATATCATAGAAACACTGAGGTAAAAGACTTGAAGTTTCTGGCTGAGCAGCTTCTCTGAAAGACATGATTCCTGTGTTATTTCTGATTAATGTTTGTCTTGGATACTGGCAGTGCAAAAAGACTCCTAACCTCGTCTAGGCAGTCTACTCTCTTCTGTCGTTATCGCTGGAACCTTTTTTCACCACATCTGACTTCTTGTTAAAATACAATCCTGTTTCTTTGATGTGAAATATTTGTAGGTATGAAGAAAGGATTACTGCACTCTTTGTCATGGTGCTTCTGTTATTGAAAACTTTTATATTGCTATCTTTTCCTTTTCCCTGCTTTTTCTGTTCTGTTCAAGCAAGTCAACTCTTTAAATGTTCTGTGACAATGTTTTCAAAATGCCTAACCATTCTTCTTGCTTACCTTTAAATTCTTTCCAGTTGTGCCATCATTCTTAAGCTATGGTGCTGGAAAGGGAACAATACTCCAATTGAGCCCTTGCCAAGGTTGAGTAGTGTATTGCAGATTACTACAGAATTGTATCTTGGAAGTAGTTGTCCTATTTACAAGCTATTTCATTAGTATTGATAAAAGCAAAATAAAGCTGTCGGAGAGGAATTTTTGCCTTATGTACTTGGTGATATTCTCACAATTAACTTTCTCTGAAGATAGATACTTTAGTTGGGGGGGGGAGGGGGTCTGCCTGAAAACAATCTCAATCAAATACTATTATGAGCTTTTAAAGCAGTTTTGCTGAGGATTTGGAAGTTACAGACTGATCTGCTGTTACAAGCAAATAAGTAATAGGTACCTCAAAAAAATCAGAATCACCAAATGTTTAAAATCAAAAAATTGAGAAGAGATGATGTGGAGAGGAGAGTGAACTCTTTGAAAGAGATGAAACAGACAATGTTAAGATGAATGTAATCCATTTGTTTGTTATCAAAAATACATTTAGCAAGATCTGTTACCAAAGGCATAAATATGTCATGCAATTAAGAAGCATACCCTTTCTTGAACTAAACTGAAAAATAGGAAGTGAAGAGACAGAGTAATTAGTCAGGGTTTTTTATTGTGGTAAAACAGCTGTTTTTCCTAGATGTGCTCAGGTTACAGTTGATCAGCACAGTGTTTTGGAAATGAGATTGAGTATTGAGGTACCAGTGTTCACTACAGATGTTAAACTATTTAGGGTACTGAAAACTGAGGTAAACTGCAGAAATTTGTGGAAATATGATGTTGAGAAATATACTCATTTTGAGTTCTCAGTGTACTCATGATATTGAGTGTTTGGGTAAATTTTGTCTGACATTTCACTGGTATTAATAAAAACAAAATTATGTAGGCAAGAGGGAGCTTTCACTTTGGGTACTCTGGTCTTGAAATTAACCACTCAAGGTATTTGAGAATTAGGAAGAGTCTGAAAACAATTCTTAACAGTCAAAAAAATCAAGAAGAACGTTAGCAATTATTGAGAGGAGGGTGCAAAGGAATATTTTGTGCATAAGTCCACAGTATAGTAGCATCTTGAATGGTGTCTGCAGGTGTGGTCATCTCTAATATCTCGGTGTAAGGTCTATGTAAGATCTAGTAAAGGTTAGTAGGGTAACAAAAAGTACCAAGTGATTTTCCTTCGACTGTCTTCTCATTTGAGAATGTTCCCTTCAGCACTATGACTGGTATAGAAAGAATGAGGGAGGAGCATTGCTCCTTGTTTCTTGTCTCTAAAAGAAAGGAATTGTTTCCAGCAACATGTGGTCCACTGTGGTAGTCATTGTCACAAGGTATGCTAGACACCTAAACTAGATGGGAATGCTATTACAGTTCTCATTTCAGAAGTTCTTACACTACCAAAAGGTTGGAAAAAAGGAAATGATTAGGTAATACCACTCTTCATTTGCTTTTCTAAAATACTAAACCTTGGCACTTGGAGACCAGCCACAGTGTTAAATAGACCTTATTGGCTATTTTGATGGTTTTGTATTCTGTAGAAGTGCCCTATAACAATTCTGAACATAAAACATTTTCAAAACAATAAGGCAAATGCTACAAATGTATCCTTGTTTTTCAGAGCTATCAGCAGTTTCTGAAAACTCTAATGCAACAGAATGTGGAACTAGAGCAGCTACAAAAACAACTGAGGTATAAACCAGCCAATTTTAAAAATCATTAAGTATCTTTTCTATAGCTTTCTCTAACTTGCTGCTGTATTGTGGGCCTTGTTTGTACTGCAAATTGACTTGATAGTGATAGTTACAATGGTTTCAGTTAATTCCTCTGAAGTTTGTTACAAATGTGTGCATCATTAGTGTGAGGGTAGTGTATTTCTGGGTAGCACTGTTTGGTTCAGCTGTTTCCTGAAATATTCAACATTTGACATTTGATTTAAAATGAAAAAAGTGTCAGTATCACAGCAAAATTGACTCTGAAGGTAGGTTTTCATTAGAATACAATTTGCTCAGAATCCAGTTACATAATTACTCATTTCTGAAATTTGAATGTTCACAGTTTTAGTGTTTTTAATAAAATTTCCGTTCACTCTTTCTCAATGAAGAGATCTAAAACATAGGTTCTTCAGAAGTTAGAGGTAAGGGAAACAGTTAATTATATTCCTGAAGTATATCAAAGTGAATGAGAAAAAACCCTGACACAGGTATTTATTTGTATTTACAGCCATAGTCTGTTCAATGCCAGTTTACTGTATATGTTAACTGTTTTAATTAGTGGTAGCTGAGGTCAAACTAGAATTTAATTTCAGTTAAATAGTGGATTTGTGGATTGATAATAAGAAGGAAACAGATTCATTATCAACCAGTGATATTTTTTTGTATAGCATTACCTAAAGCTTTAAATAAATAAATAAATAAAGTTTATAAGCTTAAAATTTATAATGTACTTAAATTTTAGTTTCATTATTAAATTTTCCTTTGATTTTAGTGATTGTAATTTCTTTTGTTGCTGTAATTTAAAATACTTAACATGGTTGGACTGCTACAATATTTTAATTCATTTTTTCTTTTGATTTTAAAGAATATCACCCCAAAAATTATGAAAAAATAACTTCCATTTTTATGTAAGCACTTAAAGGTGACTATGTTTGCTCATGCACTCAATCTTGTATGCAGCTTCTGCAGGTAATGCTGATATTTGGAAGCCTAGGTTGGCTGAATGCATGCTGATACTGATTTTATCCCTCTAAGAAAGAATGGCTACATCAGATGTTCTCTCTTCCAAACCCGTACAAAAATACTGCTTGAAGAGCTACTGGATCTCTTGTAATGCTAAGTGATTATCACAGTAAAGATTGGGCATCATACAAATTTCAGCATCTGTTTAATGAATCCAGTGGTACTATTTGTAGATGTTAAAGTTACTCTGTCATAATACAGTAAAAGATACAGGTTTAGAGTGAATGAACAGATTAATTAGTGCTGAATATTGATCATTGTTGGATATTTATTAATCAGTCTAAAAACTGGTCTTTTTTTGAGATTGGTTGTGTCTAAACTTTCTTGCTGTTAAAGCAATAAAAATTAGCTGCTTCTAGTAGTAAGCTTTCATGCCCTATTTGGTATGCTATGGTTTACTTGAATTGTATTTGTTTCAAATAATGTTTATTTTTAGATTTCCTTTATACAATAAATTTAGGAGCAGAACCTGCTTACAAATGCCAAGTTACCTTAATCTCAGACGATGTGTTTTTGTGGCGGACTTGTTAGTGTGTCTCATTTTTTATTAGCCAAGATTTTTCCATGGAAAATCTGTTTTCAAAAATAATGTGTTCTGGAGAAGGAAAAGGTGGTGACGAGTAATCAAAGATGAAAGGTGCTATTCAGGGTATTTGCTAAAATAAAGTATTTCCAGACGGGGTCATCACTTGCAACTTGCTTGTGTATGCTACCACTTAATTCTTAAAAGGGAAACAACAACGTTTTCATATCCTTACTTTTTTGGGAATTTCTTTCCTTGCTGAGGATGTTAGTGTTGAATTACTGGTTTGGTATCTCATTCATCTATAAATCTTTGGTCCTGCATTGACGTGCTTACCCACTTATTACATGTAATAAGTGTATGAAAGCAGTTAGCATTAACTGAACCGATTTTAGACATTCAATAAATGCTATCAACATACAGTTTATTATGGCATTTCTAAAACTCTCAGTGGTTTTGATTTAAAAAACACAAAAAACAACCAAAACCAAACTAATTTTTAAAAAAACCCGAAACTTAAAATAATTCAGGTTGTGTGGTTGAGCAGCCGCTTGAATGATTTTGTCAAACTTAACAGATGTCATGATTTCCTTTGGTCTCATCTTCATTTTACACTTTAGGCTTGATCCTTGGAGTTATATGAAATTCCTTAATGATACCACTTTGATGAAAAAATTTAGAGTATGGCATGTCAACCAAAATGGCTACACTGATTCCTAGCCATGCATACACACAAGGATATGTGTAACTGTCTATATATGGCCATGAGTGTGGACAGTAGAAGGGAATTGCATGTTTTCTGCTTAAACTACTGCTTCAGGAAGAAGATATATTAAAAGGTAGAAGTCCCTGGGACTGACTGAAAGCTGGTGGAGCATCTTGATCTGTGCTTTTACTTACACATGCCCAAATATAGATGCATATTTTTAATTGCTGTTTTATAATTAGTGAAATTGTGAGTGAATTTAGACTTCCATCTAAGTATCCACAGGGCTAGAGTAGTCATCTTCCTTATCCTTTCAGAACTAATTTTTCATTTAGTATGTTCTAGCTGCACAAGACTGTTCAACATGTGGCTTAAATCGATCAAAGCACTTAACTGCATGCCACTAATCAGTAAATGGACAATCACTGGCCTATACATTAATGATCAATATTAATAATATAAAAGGTAAACCTTGATACTAGGCATTTGTAATAAATAAACACAAATGTATAAACAGCATTCTGTAACTGACCCTGTGAAGTACTGATTTCACATGCTTTTTGTTGCTTGCTCTTACATAGGTGCACACACCCTTTCTCAGAGGAAGCAGGGATATATGTGCACAGATACTCTCTTTTTTGGCAGTACACGTTTTCCTATTTTCACACTCCTGCCTGAGGTGTGTGTGCTCCAGCTTCAGGTGTGTACCTGTGCTTCTTCCTCAACTCTGCTAGTTGTGCCCTGCTGAGCAAGCACCCCGTGAGTTCCCATGGACACACCTGGTATGTTGGTCCCTGTTTATTTAACCCCGGGTTGTCAGTCTGCCAGCTGGGTGCAAGGCTACTCCTGGGATATGATGGGGTGGTTGTTCTCACTCTTGAGAGAAGGTGACAACACCCACGGGGTGACTCCTGGCAGGATCAAACACCGCTTCACTGCTGGGCTGTCATGCTAAGGTCTGTTACCCACAGTCACAAATTTTCATGTTTCCTTTCAACCTGTCATCTCAGAAGTCTGTAACTGTTTGGCTGGTCATGATCATGACCAACCTTTCTCATTGTTCTCTCCCTGTAGTGTTCTCAGTTTTGGGCAAAGTGGCTCTCAACGGGATTTTGCATCTCTAATTATGGGCAGTGATTACACTGATGTTCTTCTCAGAAAAGTTCTTGCAGCCCTAAAACCATTACTATGTTGTACTCACAAAGCTCATGACAGCAGCTCTATAAAGTGTGGCAGTGATTCTCAAAGAAGTTTGGAATGTTTTCACCAGTTGCTTCACTAACATGAAGTTGCATAGATGTTGTTTGCATGGATTATATAGCATATATTGCAGACAATTCTAATCCTTTTGGATGTTTTTAATAGGTTTACATTGATTTATGTTGATAGAGTAACAAGTCTGAAGAGGAAATGTGGTTTTTGTTAGTTTTTTTTAAAAACCAACTTGTGTATAACAATTCAGGCTTGATTTAGGTTTGTATAGCATAGATTAAGTGTAATTTTGGAGCTTTTCATTTTGCTGAATTGATAGTGTGTTGATAAATTTTAGATATGTTAATCTTAACATATAGCAAAGTATACAATCTGACACATGTAGCCATAAAACACTTGAAACATGCTCCTGACATTGACATGCTATATCTCCAGAATGCATGTCTAAAGGAGGATGGCTAGAATAAGTTTTGACAGGTAATCTGGGGAAAAGGAGACCAAATTAAGAGTTCTGTTGGAAGTTATTTTCAGGTTGATATTAGCTTTTATTCTTTAGATCAGAAGTTGACCTTACCCAAAATAAAAAATTTAAATTTGAGCAAATACCCCTGAAGAAGTGTTTGAGAACTGAGTCATTGCTTCTCATCTATGTTAACATAAATTCAATGTAAAATGTACAGTAACACTGTACTATTTGCCTGCTATTTATGTACTATTACTCTAGCTATTAAAGTGTCATAATCTGCCATGCATAGAGACAATGCAATATTTGATGTATTTCTGTAGAGAAGTTGTTTGAACAGATTTCACTTATATGCTAGAATTTTTATTAAAACATTAATTAGTGCTTTAGTGTCTTGAAGCTCTGTTGTAAACAGTTAATAATTTAGTTCACTACATGATTGTTCTCTGGAATTAACTACTAGCAGCCATCTCTGGAGAGGGGATGATTAACAGTCAGTGACCAAATAGTCTTCTCTGGTGATGTGAACTGTTGAGTTTAGCTGCAAGTATTAAAAAATGTTTTCATCTATAGTCTAATGAAATATTTTAAAAGATCTGTAGATAAAACATATAAACTAAGAAACTTGGCATTGCTGGGACGTGTATCTGCATTTCAGAATCTTAAAGCTTTTAAACAGACATGACTTGCCAAGATTGTTTTAAAGATATAATGCACAGTGAAAAAATAGAAGTGCATCTTTAGAATCAGTTTGTTGCCTGTTAAACACACATCTCTGAATTTGGTCATTAAAATGCATTTTTAATAAGGTGTTCTGGGTTTTTATGACTTTTTTTTTTTCTTATTTTTCCTTTCTTATGCTGGGTTTTGAGTTTTTGTTTTGTTTTACAGCCCGTTTTAAATATTTTTGAGGAAGCAACTTAAAGTTCTCATAAGTTCAGCAATACTTTTTGTAGAAGAAAGGTGCATGATTTGGCTGCAGTAAGATCAAAGTTTTGGACCTGCAGTGCGGATGGTGTATCTAAGAATGGTTATCCTGGGTTTTGGTTTTAAAGAAATTACAACAAAATTAGCTTTTCTGATTAATTAAGATGAATGTAAATATTGCTGTGGAATTGCTGGGATTATGCATATTTTGCTTAAGATTTTCATACAGGTATAATATGTTCTTTTTTATGCCATTAAATCCAAATTATTATCTCTATAAGGAATATTTGCTTGAATTAAGTATTTTTTAGCTTCCTTCATAATAATTAGTGCTCCACTTTGTGTTAGTTTATCTAATATGTTTGGTCTTTTCTAATTTTATCATACATTCAATCACTGGTCTTTAAATTTAGCCTAATACACAGCCTGAATAAATGGGTTACACCCCAAGTGAAATTCTCTGTCTTTCTGTTCCCAAGTCAAAGGAGTACAAGTGTTGCTTATTTCAATAAGCTTTTCTACTGAGGAGAAAGTCTGATTCATTAACTAGACCTTTTTTTTCTTTTTGTGTTTCAGCTCATAAAACCTATTTAGATTACAAAGTACATCAGTTAAATTCTTCAGAAGTGGTTACTGATTTTTTTTTTTTTTAATTTCTAATTGAAATGCTTTAGAAAGTAAGATTCTGAAAAAGAATTCTCTGTTAATTATCTGTAGCCAATTATATTTAAGTTACTGAATTAAGTTAAAGTTTGATTGCCTAGTCCCCCTAAATATTTGATCAACACAAACACACACCTTCCTGTTAAGCTATCTTTAAGAAGTCTGTTCCACAGGACAATTGTTTTATGAATTTGGTATTCTTCTCTCACTGTGCCACATAGTAAGAAGAAGGGGGAAAACTTTTCTGCCTTGTAGGAACAGTATTACAAAACCTAACTGCCTTTCACAGCTATTTCAGCAGAGTTGTAATAGAGCCAGTTTTTTTCCCCTATAACAATTGAAATGTAATTCATAGACTTTTTTCTTTATACAGGCAGGCCAAAATAGATAAGCAGACAGCAAATGCTAAGATTGGTGAAATGACCAGATTGACAGAGAAGCTTCAAAGCCGGTTGGAAAGAAAGGTATTGTAGAGAAAGGAATACTTTTATGTTGCAATTGAACGGCTGGTCAGTTATCTGAATGCTGATGTTAAACTATTCACGAGTTGTTCTCTAACTTGTTTTATGTTAGTATATCTTAAATTTGTTCAGGGAAGCTCAGATGGTGTCTGGATAACACATATATGCTTTCTAGGAAGAAGATGTGATATCTGCTCAGCAAAGAGAAGCAGCATCTGACAAACGCCTGCAGCAAATGCAGTCTAGTATAAAACAATTAGAAACAAGGTAAAGATAGCTCATTGGGTGTTAATAACATAATATATGCAAGTGAGATAAAATACAACTTCTTTTCAGTCTCTGGATTTTGTGTTTCTGAGCAGTTCTGTTTTCTCAAAATACTTATGTCTGACTGCTCTCTATCTTATTTGTTCTATCCTGCAGTCTTTCAGACAGCTTCTAATTTCAATGTATTCAAAATGATAGACTATCTGATTTTATTAACTGTAATGGAGAAAAAAATGAGGCATATATTTTTAATTCTAGTACATAAATTCTGGTTACTGAATTGTCATTAGCTTTAGGTGGAGTTCTAAAGAAAAACATTCAGACTGAAATTTGAAAATGTTTATGTAGACTAGGTGGTTTTGAGGTGAATACAGATTTTTCTTTCTGTGTTAATTAAGATTTGGTTTCAGGTCTTAGTTCAGCAATCTTCATACAAAAAAGATTACTTAATAAAACTGTTAAAGCACACTTCTTAACAATAAATGCTGGTTACAGAAGTAGTTTGAGTATCTGCTGAGGAGTAGAGATTTACTTCCAGCACTGTCTACTGGAAGATCTAAGACTCGATCAGGTTCTTCTGTGTGGATTTTTTTTTTTTCCCCTTCACTCTCCAAGGATATGACACTTAGGTGAGCGCAGTGATTTTGATTCAAATATCACGAACAGTTGAACATTAGTGAAGTGACCTGATAGGTCAGAAGAATTTGTAAATTTCTTACTGAAATAGTTGTGTGACTGTTCATCTTCCCTTCTTGGTTACAGCCTTGTGAGCGTTATTACAGAGTCTTCAGTAACTCTAGAAACCAAATAATTAGTGGAAAACAAACCTTGTGACTATGTGGTCAAGTACTGCCTCGAGGAGTTGCTCAGGCTTGTGTGGCTACCTCTACTTGATGGATATCACTGGCCTAAGCATTGTGGAGGCTCTTAAGTTTATTTTAGAATGTCTTAAAGAGTTAGCTAGTTTTAATATTTTCTGTAGGTCTTTGGTTCTACAAAAATCGAGTGGTTGTCTTTCTTCGTATGTTTGTAATAAAACATGTTAGAAAGTAAAAAAGCATGGCTGCTTCAAAAGGCAGCCCAAGTGTTGCCAAAGTGCTCACTGTGGGTATTTAGAACCATGCACTTCATTGAACCAGCAGCATTTGTGGAACTTCCTGAGATATTTTATTTTGAGGATACCCCTGAGGCAGTCTTGTCCCTTCTCATGCCTACCAATACTGACAATCATAATTAAACAATAAGAATTTCTGAGCTGTTGTAAAATTACCAGTGGTTTTCTTGTTCTAATGGTATAGCTGCAACTTCATTGCCCACATCCAATTATTCTATTTCCTCCACAGAGGAAAACTTTATTCCTTCTGGGGCTTTTGTATTCTGTTTTAATATAGAACATTTCCAGTGATGTATCCCAGGATAAGCAACATTCTTCTAAGGTTCTTCTGAGATTAGAATGTTGAGTTCACTCCTTTAATTCTGTTTCTTTCTAGGACTTGATGAATATCAAGCTCAAAGACTCTGTCCAAAAACAAGCAGAAAACCAGGAATGCAGTTCTGGCAATTTAAGAATAAATACTTCGTATTATTTTAGTTTGAAAGAATTAATGTCTTAATCAAGCATCTTGCTGTTAAATGAGTAAAATTATTACAATCTTGTAGATTACGTGTTACTGTCCAAAATGCTGAACAAGTAAGAACAGAAAGAACAGCCCTGGAGAAACAAATTGGAGAGCTTCAGACAAAGTATGCTAATCTAGAAAGGGAGAAGTATGATGATGCTGCAAAAGTGCAAGACTGCATACAGCTCTTAGAAGAAGCTAACCTACAGAAAAGTCAGGTAAGGCAACAGATTAAGATATTTCGATATTTTCATCACTTAGAGTTGTGAAGTGCCTGATGATGTATTCTTACAGGCATACATGGCATACACGACCAAGCTTCCTTTATGTCTGTTGTACTAAAATTAGCAACGCGTAAAATAGTGAACTGTGATATAACCATACCTTACTTAGACTTGTCATTCAGTATAAATGTCAAAGAATATGTTAAGTGCCTGGATAATAGTGATCTAAGTGTTACTACTGTATCTGAACTTGAATTTTCAAAAAATTTTGACAGAATTTCTTAGCAAATATGTATAAACAAATTGAGATGTCAGAATAAAAAGGAAAGTCCTGCTATGAATTTATTAGTGGTGAGGAAAGAAGAGCTAAACTAAAGGGATTTTTTTTTTATTATATGGTGGACATAGGTCACCAAGAGAGTGAGTTCTGTGTTCAGTTCTTAATTATTGAGAAGAAATCTGGAAAAGTGACTGAATAATGAGTGGTTGAAGCCTGAAGTCAGGAAAAAGATTGTGAAGGTATTTATTAATGTATTGTAAAATGGCAGAAGAAATTCCAGTGTGCCACACTGGGTGCTGAATTTAGTCTTACAAGTCAAACGGTTTAGGCGATGGTGTGGATATCGCTTAAGAACACATTCATGCAATCCTCAGTGGTGCTCAATACAATTAATAGAATGTGCAGAATGAAGGAAATAAAGATGCCTTTAATCAAAGTGCACCATCGTGCAGTTTTGATCAGCCCGTCTCAGGCAAGACATAGGAGAATTAGGAAAGTGCAGGAGGAGTCAACAAAGAAAGCTAGATATGTGGAGAGGCCTTAAAATAAATTTTTATAAACAATATGTGATTCAACAATATGTGTCATAGGATGATGTGTACACCAAAAGTATAGATATGAAAACAGTCACATTCAGGACAGGACAATCTACCAGAACTTCCTAAAGAACAGTGTCTAATCCAGCAAATCTTGACATGTCTATTAATCAAAAAAACCTAGTCGCCCTGTTTTCCCAGTTCTTAACTTTCCCGAAGTATCTGCAGTTTGCCCCTTTAGGAGGTAGGATACAGGGCTTGGTAAACTTTTGTCTAATATGGGCTCTTTGTCTTTTAATTCTAAACTTCAGTTTGAGTTCAGACATTTAGAAATCTAATGAGTTCTGTTTGCTGGCAAGACAGAACTTTAATGGACATCTGATGATTGTAGCCATCAGTTAGTGAAACCCAGTTTATTTAATGCCTATGGGAATAATGTTAGAATTCATTCTGTTTGAGCTAACATGTTGAACTGTTGAGCAGTTAAGGAGATAAATGCTCCCTTTTAGTCTGAAGTTGCTTTTCAGACTTGAGGAGCCTTCTGAGTATCTAAACTAGATTTTTACTTTTAACAGCTGGAATATTAAAGTTAGTGTTGCTCTTGCTGATTTCAGTTCTGTGACAAAGGCAGACCTGCCTCCTTTTTTCTGACAGAAAAGGGAGCTAACCTCTTTAAAGAGATGCTGCTACCTTCTGGCCTGCTTACAGAATAGATTAAAATATTGACAAAGCTTTAGGGTTCTGGCTGTTACTGCAGTTAAACTTCTATGATTCTGCTTGTTACACGGAAGAGGATTATCATCCTGTAATAGTCTTTCTTCTCATATATTTAAAGGCATTTAGGAAATGCTTTGTTGGCATCTTTTCATAATTTCCTCATAATTTTCTGCATCTCATTTGCTTTATGAACTGATCTACAATTCCCTTTACCTGTTAGGCTCTGGTTCAGAAAGGGGTGAAAAATGAAGTTTTACATCCTCCAGCTCTTGGTGGCCACCTTTGGACTTGTCAGTTCCTTTTACTTAGTAAGATATTTTGCTCCTTAACAGCATTTCCCTACAGCCCAGTAGTGGGGAGAATGTCAAGAATGAAAGGTAAAAATATTTTTTTTCAGAGTTTAAAAACCAGAAAACACTTTTTCATTTGAAAATTACTGCTAAGGAGTATAAAACACATTTCCTCTGCTAAATATTAGTACATCAGAGCAGTATTAGAACACCAGTTTTCATCCAGAAGTAGTTCAGCAGATCATTTGATGCTACTTGCTGTGAACTCCCATGAAACTGACAGAAAGAAGTGGCCCGATAAAAATTGTGATGTAAATTGCATCTCTTAAGATTTAAATAAGTGTCTTGTTCTAAGTAACAGTTTAGATTAATGCTGTAGTAGTAATAAACAGGAATTCTCACAGACTTGTTAATTTACTGCTCTGGCTAAAGCATCCTGATTTTTTCAAACTGGGAAGTTGATTAATGAACAGGATTAAAGAAATGCAGCATAATATACATTAAAAGAGTAGTTTGAGAAATAAAGTACAAAGTTGAATGGGAGCAGTTAAAAGAGAGTATGACCGATGAAGTGGCATGTTACTGCCTCAAGTGGGTAACCTTCTATAGACTGAATTTATATTATCCATTAGGGACATTTTTATGTTGTCTTTTATGCATCTACATATTCTCGCTGTGCCACCTAGGATTTTTTATCCGACCTATTAAGAATTCTATACTCTGTAATCTCTTCAGACCAGTGTCCCCTATTCTACTTTTTCATCAGTAACTTTATTGCATCCTCCAGAGGAAGGGTTCTTTGCTGTGCCCTATTCTGTAATTCTTGCCACACTTTCATGCTGAAGAGCTGTTTGGTTCATTATAATCCATCATGAAAGGGGCTGCATACACATTTCTTAGTTGCTTATAAATTTTTATTCCTTCACTGTTGGTTTTCTGGGATATGGGCAACTTAGTATATCAACCATAAATAATGCCTAGCTATATGTAGGGCCACGTGTGTGTATATACAGGTATTCAGTTTTCTAACAGAGAACTTTCTATGTGTCCCTGTTGACATTTTTTATTACAGATCCTGGCCCCAGATGAGAACATTGAAGAGTAGTCTTGCCTTTTGGTCTGAGTTCCTTTGCTTTCTTCTTTATAATTCCATGCCCAGTCAAAATCTGAAAGTCCCAATAGAAAAAGGCATCTACTGACACTAACTTTATGTGCGTTCTGATTTACAAGAATGTGCAAAATGTTCTTGCCATTCCTGTTTTTCTTGTTGGGTCTCAGTGTCAGCTACTCCAAAGTAAAAAGGAAAAAAGGTTTTTTGAACAGTGACTATATGTGGTTTCTTCTCTCAGTGCTGGATACTATGTCACCACTGAACTATTATCAGTAGTATTTCAAGTTGTTATTTTTTTCTAGGCACTCTTTGGGGAGAAACAAAAGGAAGAGGAAATCAAAAAAATGAAAGATGAGATGTCTCAACTTGCAGAAGATACTGCTGCAAGAATTAGAAAGGCAGTAAGTTATGATATTTAGAAAGAAGGGAAAGGTTTTTTAGTTTTCCGCAGCATGAAAAGCTGTTGATGGTGCAAGGTCACCATGAGCAGTTTTCTTGCAAGTGTTTCGATAATATAGGTAGCAAGTCAGCATGCTGACAGTACTGTACTCTTCAGCATTGTTATCTAGGCATATATTCTTCTAAACTAAATGTTATTCTTAAATCTCACAAGAACCAAAAATGTTGATGCCTGTGCAGACAGTGGTATAGTGAAGGCTGCACTGTGAAGATGTAAAGAATAGAACTTCGATTTCAGAGCTTTTGTTCAGTAGCACATCAGCAGACTGAGTGTTGTGTTGGTATCATGGTATTTAATTTAGGATATGTGGCCTCATCTTGGAAATTGCTGATGGAATCTTATCCTGTATGTTCAGACAATAGGACCTGTGGAAAGTTAATCATGATTTTGGCATCTCAGTACTTAAAAATACTCTCCTAGTTAGGCAGGTAAGACTCTTCTGCCAAGTGCAGCTAACAATCAAAAGGCTCAGTGTAATAGCACACTTAAAATCAGAATTTGGTAGAGAAATTACTTTTAAAAAACGTTGTCATCTCTATGTTTTTTCTTATTACAAGCAGCTGAAATATTGAAGTTCTTCTGATAAACGACTAGTCACAAAATTAATTTTCTCCATGTTATGTCCCATCTGCAGTTAAAATGCAGACTAATCTATCTGGAGATTCTCAATAATTATCTGCATGTCAAAGAGACTTGCTTTATTTTAACCTTCCTCCAGAGGAAGTAAAAGGCTCATTACAGACATGTTTCAACAGTGTCTTTTGTTGCAAGTGGACAACAGTGTAAAGCAGCCTTATGTGTAAGTTTTCAGTGGTGTAATTGATTTTTGCCTCCTTTCGCTTTCTTCACCATGACACAATGTGCATATGTACTGTATAGGGATGAAAGGATTCTTTTTCTTTCCATTTCAAGAGGTTTCAGAAACATGCTGCCTAAATTTGCAGAGCCTTTAAAATGAGGATAAAGACGGTTTGTGCCTTCTATTTGGTGGTTACCTGAAAGAATCACAAAAATTGCGTGGGTTACTATTTAATGTCATGCACGGAGATGTATGACATGAGAAGATGTGAGAACTAAAGGGCAACTAGTGTGACAGTGATTTACTAATCAGAATTTAGACATTTAGAAATGCCCTATTTCTTATTTTGAAATTATCTCAGTGAAAGAGAATCTATCAAAAGCATAGAAAGTAACATTCTAAACTATGAGTTGTCATGTTTCTTCAGGTATTACCAAATACTACTTTTGTTATGTGATATAAAATATCTGTTAGAGAAATTGCAGATATCTTGCATTTAATGGACAGCAGCTTTCCTGATAGTCTTACTGTTCTTTTTGTAAGGCCTTCTTGTGATGTCTTTCTTTCCACTTTTTTTTTAAGCACCCTGAATTAAAGTAGTATGGATTGATAATAAACAATTATGCTAACATTTATGTAGTAAGATTTGTCAGTTATTGCAGTCCCAGATAGTCTCATATTTATATACATGCACCACACATAGGCAATATATATATTAAAAAAAAAAAAAAAAGATGGAAAAATCGTTCATGGGATTAATTTTTTAGTTTTACTTTGTTTTTGATCACAGGTAGATTCTGCAAAGAAGCAATATAATGTGCAGATTTCTCGACTAACAGAAGAACTTTCAGCTCTTCAGATGGTATGGTGTTGACCAATTAAAGTATTTTTGAAAGCAAAACATTTGAGACTTCTAGTTTTTGTTCATCAAGTAAAATACTAAATTCAGGTGAAAGTGAACTAAAATAGACTTAATGTGTAATTGTGTAGGACAGCTTTATTACTGTATAGCGCTTCCTGCACTTCTCCAGGTATTAATGCAACATACAGAGTCTTTCATGTTACTTGACAAAAGCGACTGTGTGCAGTGTCTTAAACAATCCGTGTAGAGATTCATATTCAGATGTAAAGGGTATTTGCTTTGACAATTCATTCCTAATTTACAGATTTGCCTTGTGTTTATACAATCATATCTTACTTTTACTGAGAATTTGCCTGGCTTTGCATGAAATGATACAGTTCTGCAAATCCACCCACTTTTTTGTGCAAGTTAATTCTTTGAGTTACACATATTCTTGTTGTAGTTCACAAGCATCTTGGCAGTGAGATTCTGTGCTCTAGAAAATATTTCCCATGTGATGGCATTTTTTAAGTATTCCTGTTCCTTTCAGAGATAGATAAAGCATGGTCAGCTGAGTATTCTATATCTATTGTTGAGTGTGTAGAAAGGAAGTATATGACAGTTGATAAAGTATGCTAAGAGAACGTCTGTGCATCATAATCATGATATTTTTGAAGGAACCAGGAACTTTTAACAAATTATGAGTGAGATCAAAAGACCTTGGTGCATATGCACATTTTTATGGATTAACTTTATTTTTTAAAAAATTTATTTTTCATGTCTTGATGTACATAGCAAATGAGACTGATGAGCAGGTAAATATAATCAAATGTACACATACCAGCAGCAAGAATTACATTTACAATGGCTGGGTTTTGGCTTTGGCACTTCTTGAATTTTTGAGTTATTTTTTATTAAATTTATTTTTAAAATAATTTTTAAAATAGGAATGTGGAGAAAAACAAGGTCAAATTGAACGAGCCATTAGAGAAAAGAGAGCAGTGGAAGAAGAGCTTGAAAAGGTAAGGGAACTACATGCATTTTGACATCATGTTCTCTTTTTCAGAAGGAAAAGTTATATTGATATTTTCACATTTTGGATGGGGTTTTTTTCCCCTTCATTTTCTTATTTTGTTTCTTGAGTAGGGCTTCTTAATTCTAAATCTTCATGTAATTATTTTAAGTTTTAGGGGTTTTTTTAATCCAGAAATGTTTTAAAGCTGAAATACTAAAAAGCAGGGTTCTTTGAAAAGTGTAAAAAGTAAAAGGAGATATGTTTGACATAATCCGAAAGAAAGTTGGTATATATTCCAGTTAAACTTGAGCTGAATAGACAGAAAACTAAATGAATGCCAGATATTTGACAACTTCTTTCCAAGTATCAGCAGAACAGATAGAAATTCAGTTTTGTTTTAAATCACTTGAAAATAGAATACACTGAGGAGTAAGCAGCCTCCTTGTCAGTACTACACTGCCAGTCAGTAGTGCAAGGTGAAGATGATCTTACATGTAAATTTGCTCTTCAGATTTACAGGGAAAACAGGGGAAATGAATCTGACAATAGAAAACTAGAGCAACTGCATCAGAAATATTTACTTGCAGAAACTACCAAAGGTGACCTTCAGCTAAGTCTGCAGACAATGCAAAATAAATTGAAGCAACTGGAAATAAAGTAAGTAATGGATGTTACAGAAATTAGAATGAAAAACAATTGAAATTATTTCTGACTATTTAAACTGTTGATTATACGTTAGGTTTTTGTCACATATTTTTAACCAGTAGCAGGAATAGTATCAAGATACCATAATTCTGAAGCAAGGGCAGTTATGATTTACTATGAACGAATGAAAGGGGATAACGTGCTATAGAATGAAAGGTTTTCTTTACAAGATGAGAACTGCAAGCAGCTGTTTGACAAAAAAATGAAAATAGGAGCACCTTACTGCATTTTTAAATACAATTTATAGGAAAAGTTACTCTGAAATATTCAGGCAGAATTTATTACTTTATAAATTCATTTACAGTATGATATCTCTTATTACATGCATAACACTGTGTTTACATAGCATACTGAATTTGCAGGTCTGTGTTCAGAGGTAATAGACATTATTGCACTTCCAGTAATACAGTGGTAAAAGGTACAATATGGTACACGTCTTTAGACCGGGCTGTTGTTTTCAGCATGAAAAGTATGGGATTCTGTAGAAGCTTCACTCATTTCTGTACTCTGATTATCATAAGTCCTGTCACTTCGCCAGAGCAATCCTCAGCTGGGTATCTGGAAATGTTATAAAAATTAAAATCTCAGTTGCATGTTGACATTTTACTGAGATCACTGCAATATTAGATTGGTTTTATGAATTCTGTCATCTTGATAAAATTCTTTGCTAACTTGTGCATAGTTCTAGCTGACAAGTCTATTAAACATGCTGAACTGATAGAAGCTTTCAGGAAGAAACAGGGGAATGGCTGTACTGAGTCACAGAATCACAGAATCATGTAGGTTGGAAAAGACCTTGAAGATCATCCAGTCCAGCCATTAACCTCACACTGACAGTTCCCAACTTACACCAGATCCCTCAGCGCTATGTCGACCCAACTCTTAAACACTTCAGGGATGGGGACTCCACCACCTCCCTGGGCAGCCCATTCCAACGTCCAGCAACCTCTTCTGGAAAGAAATGCTTCCTAACAGCCAGTCTAAACCTTCCCTGGTGCAACTTGAGGCCATTACTTCTCATCCTATCGCTTGTTACTTGGTTCAAGAGACTCATCCCCAGTTCTCTGCACCCTCCTTTCAGGGAGCTGTAGAGGGCGATGAGGTCTCCCCTCAGCCTCCTCTTCTCCAGACTAAACACCCCCAGTTCCCTGAGCTGCTCCTTCAGAAGAAGTGTGCTCCAGACCCTGCACCAGCTTTGCTGCCCTTCTCTGGAAGTCAGACCAAAGATCTGTCCCAATATTTGTTTTTATCTCTTGAGTACCGACAAGACTTTCCTTCTCTTTCAGCTCTGAGGAAGAGAAATCTCGTTGCCAGGAAGTTATCTGTAAATTGCAAAGCACTCTGGATTCAGAAAGAGAAGAGAGTACCTTTGTCAGTGAACAAAGGCTAAAACTTCAGCAAGAGAATGAACAATTGCAAAAAGAAATGGAGGGCTTGAGAAAACTGGCCATAGAGGCTCAACAAAAAGCTAAAATAAAGGTGTGGTTTATATGTTATTTTTATTTTAATGTAAGACTGATACTTGCTTCATAAGGCAGCCGTTCTAAGAGATCATTGAAGGTTTAAGTTAAGGATGTACATTTCAATGATGCTTCCTGATTTCTGCTTAAAAGTAATTTTGTTGTAGCATTGTGTAACCTCAGAATCTATTGGGTAACTCAATCTCTGCTAATAAATTGTAATTTAATATGTATTAAATTCTGCTAGATAAGAAGATCCCAAATGTTCTTTTCTTTTTATAAGATGAATAGATTAAGTAATAGCACATTTTCCTTCAAGTGATTTCACTTATTCCAATTCCAGATCTTCATTTATCTACTGTCTGTAAAGCGCTAGGAATCTCTCTATGACTTTTCATCCAGAGTGTGTCTACTTGTATGTCCACCATGTTGTCAGAGCAGTGTGTAACTCATAAATAATTTAGTAGTATGGTTGTCAAACATTGGTTCTGTATGTTCTGGACAGAGCACATTTTTCTATATGAATAGTTTCAGACAAGATAATTATCTGAATGATGGTTCTTTTTGAATGTGTTCCATTAAATCCACCTGAACAGACTGCTGATGGGATAATAAATTAGTAGTAACCTCAGCAGATTCATGGTACCTTTGGCTTCTGGAGAAACTAACAGCTTTGATCTTTGATGTGCTTTCTAAACATATACAGCTGGTACTTTCCACTCTGCTCTTAACTCCAGGAGTATAAAGATACTGAAAAGGGATTTAAGAATCTGCAGCAATGAGAACTTCAGTAAGCAGCTTTACAAGTTATGAACGGAGACCATCTCAAATCCAGTTTTTACTTTGCATCACAAGAAAAAGGAAGCAGTCAAACTAAACTGGAAATTTTGTTTCAACTTCAGAACCCTTTGGTCAAATGTAGTTTAAAAACAAAGGAGCAAAGTCTTGTAACAGATAGGTAGTGGTTATAAAGCATATACCAGATCTCTGTCTGTCCCAATTTTAATCAGACAGGCTTCCATTATAGTCACAGATAAGATTTACTGCTTGCTTTCATTTTCCTCTGATATACAAAGGATTTTAGATGCAGTTAAGAAGTCCAAACATTTTAGCTGGATGAAAAAGAAAGAACATGTTTCTGTGGAGAAAACACAAGGGAGAAGGATAAAGATTATTTACAAAAATAAGCATACACAGCTCATTATCCTTTATTGTCAGTTGTACTATTTGCTTAAATTGGCTTTGGGAACATGTATCTCTTTGAGCATATAATTACAAGTTTAATTATTTTATGTTACACACGTTTTCAACAAATGTTTATAAATTTAACGGGGGGGGGGGGATACCCAATTTGTATTTTTTCTAGATAAGCGTAATGGAGCATGAGTATGCTGTGAAAGAACATGGATATGAAGCTCGACTTAAGGAAATGGAAGACACCAGTCAGAAGTCTACTGCTGAACTTAGACGTCTGTTAGTAGCTCAGCAAAAAGCAACAAATCGGTGGAAAGAGGAAACAAAAAGTCTTACTGAAATTACAGAAGCTAGGATCTGTAAGCTAAAGTAAGTGCCTCTTCTGGAAGCTGTTTTAGTTACTGTTTGCTGTATGGCAGTAGACCTAAGGTGAGAAACTGGAGAGCAAACCATCCAGACTAGATGATGTGCTTCCAGCAAAACAAGAAAGAATGTTCTAAAGAGAACTTCTGATGCTCTTTGTGAAGTTATCACTGAAGTAAAAATTTTGCATCTTGTTGATGTGTGTGTGTTTTGTAATGGCAAAATGTAAATGGAATATATTACTTTTAATTTTTTCTTTCAGGCTACAGCATGCTCAATTTAGAGAATTTTACTTTTGGATTACGAAAACCTCTACATTTATAGCTTTTCAGTTCAGTTCTGAGCAGTTGCTGTCATAAATGAGGATACAAATGAGTTGTGTGATTGCCCTAAGCAAAAATGTGATATAAACTTTAATTTCTCTTAATTTATACAGGTTGCCAGGTAACTTGTATTCTCAGCACAGAATATAAGAGTATTTTAAGTTTTGAAAGGGCATAATAACAAGGGCTTCTCACGCAGCAGACAGAGATTACATACCATTCCTAGATGCTGGGGAACGCGAGCACCTACGGTGCCTGTGAGCCTATATACAGACAGGCATCAGCTGGTTTAGAGAAGACGGTGGTACTGGAAATGAGTGAGTAGAGAAGGAAGTATCCCAGTGAGAAACTAGCCATTTGCAAGTTATGTCTGAAATAAATTCTACAAGCTTATCTTTGTTTTAAATGCATACTGCTATAGATAATGTTTGCTTCTACTTGGAGGGTAATATCCATGCAAAAATGTTGAGAATCCACACTGATCAGTTTATAAAATAGGATATAATGGTATCTATGTCTGTCTTGGTTTGCCTTTTCAGTGTGTGGACGCACTGCACAGCATTACAATGTAAATGAATTGTTCTGTGCACAGTGGCTTTGTGGTGTCTCTCCTTCTCTGGTACTGCCTTACTCCACCTCAGCTTCCTCACATGGCTGGCAGGTAACAACCAAACTGTGGCTAGTTGCAGGCTGACACACATGCTCACTCACTCTGGTTAGCCAGCTAGCTGGTGCTTGTAGGAGGCCGAGTTTTAAATGGGTTTTCTCTCAACAGAGGCAAAAATATGTTTGCCTTATGCTTTATTTGATTTCTAAGCTCAGGAAACTGTCAGATCAGGTAGACTATAAATTAGAGATTAAATTAGCCTGATATTTTTATAGAACTTTTCTAGAAGTTTATGTCAAGATCTCTTCCTCTTCAGAATTGGTTGAAAATTGGGGGAGATTGACGGACTGGTACACAGTAACTTCTAAACTAGGAGGCCTGATTTCATAACTCATTTCTTTAAAATGATTTGAGAATAATGTAACATTGCATATATCACTATCTTTTAGGAAGTGTCTTCAGTTGTTTTGGAAGAAAAATTCAAGGTATGCAGTTCTGTTAGTTTGAGAAATTTGAAATGACCCTTTAACTTCAGTCACTTAAAGTGCAGGATGCACTCATGTATAGTTCTAGATTGATTTTTAGAAGTTGCTTACTAACAAGGAAGCAAAGCTTTTGCCCTATTAAATTGGAAACCTGCAAATTCTAGCCTTTATTTCCTTTGGAGTAATCCTTGGATTCTTCGTGTTTTAGTATTATTATGGTTTACACATCCTCAGCTCAAACCACAATATTTTCAGTATCCTATGCAATTTTTATAGTCATAATTTTTTAAGCATAGCTTGACATTTCTTAGTTGTCAGAATGCCAATGGTGAGTGGGATTAGAACCCAAGTTTCTAAACACAAGCAAGGAACTTTCTGAAAACGTTGCCTGCAACAAATTACCCTAACACTGCTCTAACTTGGTTTTCCATATTTCTTAGAGGAGTATGTGAATTTGATGACCAGTGACCTTCGCAAATAGCAGTTTCCTTGTGTGGTGGGGCTTCCCTTTGAAATAAGTTTTATTCCTATTTAAGTGACACAACGTCTGTCATGACTAGTTGTACCTATTGCCTGTCCAACTAGAGGAATGCTATGAGTTCCATCCTGCTTGAAATACAAGAATGATTGATAAAACATTTATTGATGACCTTTTCTGTTTCACTAGCAGCTTCACTGATATGCTTTTCATTTTTTCAAGTGCTCTTTTTCTGAGCATATAGAACATATTGTAGTAGTGGTGGATTGTTACCTGTGATAACTAGTTCAGTTTAAATTTGTCAGTTCAAAATCATACTAAATCCGATTGGAGGTAACATTTTTGCCCATTTTTCTAGAAAAACAATCACTCTGGTCACTTTTACCTCTCCTAAGTAAACAGTTTCAGGTTTTTTACCTTATCTATCCAGATATAGACTGGCTTTATTTTGCCTTAAAATACACTGCGTTTTGCAAAGATTACTAAGCAGCTTCTTAAAAAGGCACAAAGTCTCTCTCAGAACTCATCACTCTGTAGCACATCTGCAAGATGCTGGGAGCTGTTCTTATTCACTGGCAGTTTTAATGGTACAGCTTCACTGTATGTAATTAGCTGGGTCTTGCTCATACTTTTTTGATATCTTTTGTAAATGCAGTAACTGGAGAATAAAAATATTTTGCAGTGTTTCATGCTAAGGTAAATTTTAGCTGTTAAGTTTGTAGTTTATTTTCTGTAAATGAAACTACAAAAACTGTCACGGCTGAGAACGTGGGTTTGTAACTAGATCATGAATGTAGTTCAGTGACTTCCAATTCAAAGGGAAAAAAATCACATACCTCTAGAACATTTAAAGTTGTCTATGAAACAGCTGCTGTCCTTCTTAAAGCTTCAATGTCATTTGTTAAGCTTTTGGCCACTATAACAACATTTTTAGACCTTATTTGTCATCTACAGTAAAATGCTGACATAGAAAATATAGCAGACATGAGAGAGGCAGTCTGCTTTGTGAATCTGCATGGAAAATAGGTAGTAAATTTGGAAAATGTCCTTGTTTATATGAGAGACTACCTACGTGGCGCCATCTGAAAAACTCCTGCAATAATTTAACATCCTGTATCAGAGAATACTGCCTGGTGAGCAGAACAGAAAAAACGTTCATCTTGTATTAAAAATTGTAAGTCTGCACTAAGTCCACATGATTCTCTGTGACTTCAGTAGATATTTTGCTGCAAGTCTAAAAGCAAAGTCAGTTATTTTTCAAGATTTTTTTTTTTTTGTAGGTGATGGTTTTACATAGGGCATAAGCTAGAACTGATTTTTATCAGACATTTGCTCTACCTAACAAGAAAGCTGGCAACAGGAACAAGTTTTTTCTTTGCTAGAAGGCTGTCATTTAAATTGACATAAGGCAAGTCGTAGTTAAATCTGTGCAGTGATGCTCTGATATTGCAGAGACAAGTGGCTATAACAGAACCTGTAAGTATTATCTATAAAATCTAAAACCAGCTTATTTTTCACATTATATGCACTACTAGATACCTAGCTATGTAGTGCTGAATGCAGCTGGAATGAAAATTAGCTCCTGAGTTACACAGTAGTAGTTATTCAATGCAAAGTCCTTGCTTATATTATAGATGAATAATTATCATATTTATTTTAATCTTAGCACAATAACATTTTCAGTAAGTATTCTCAGTGCAAGTACAGAATGGTAGATCACTTCTTTGTTGTAAAATAAAATAAAGTTAGAAAGCAAAATAATTTTGCAGCAAGTGCATTTGTCACAGAAATATCAGCAAGACTGATAAATAATAGATTGATACTAAGCAGGGTCAATTGAATTAAGGGCTATGTTTGAAAGTGCTCTTGAGGCTAAATGCAGGAAACGGTATCGCCAAGCCTTACAGCAGGGTCCAAGTGAAAGGCCAACGTTCACCCAGCTTTCCTATATACATACATTTTTAAGTTTAGGTGGTTTTGAGAGGGTTAGTTACACTGTGAGCTTGTAAGGAAAACTTAGTATCTTCCTTAGAGTCTTCATCTTGTCTTGACTGGGCAGCAAGGCTATGAACTTAGATGAATACATCAACATACCCTTTTTAAATAGAGAGCTCTCCCAAGTTTAGCAACGTATCATGGTTATTTAGTATAATTTGAGGATAGTCCAAAACATTTCTTAGCACTTCATGAAGTTACTGTTTGATGTATTGGATTTGTGTAAATATATGAGCAAATACAGATTGTGTTGGTGACATGTAGCAGAATTTCAGATTTTAATAAGCATTATTACTCTTACAGCATAGTGCCTTATAAGTGAATGTTTTTCAGGAAGTGATGGACTTCCTAACAAAGTCGTGTCCATTTATACCAGGGAGGTAGTTTCCATAACAGCATTTTATATTACATTTCACCAGAAGTTACTGTTAGTGCAGCTCCCATAAGCACTGTCGGTGTCCCATTTGTTAGTATAGGTGTTTCCCATTCCTTTGCCTTAAATTCATGATCTGTTGCTGGGTTTCAGCTATGTCCTTATTACTTTCATTTTCCATGTGAGGGTGTCTGAAACATTTTGGCTTCTTTACTAACCTCCCAGCAGCAGCTGCGAACTTTTCCATGTTCTGTGCAGCTCATTTGTCATCTTCTAAGTCTGCAGTGTTTTGTTTGTGAGGTGTAATCCATATGCATAAAGGAAGCATTAAATAAATACTTTTAAAAAATGAAGCAACATCAGTGAACATTAGAGATTTTTAATTTTTAAAAAGTTAAGAAGGAAAAGTAAATTTTGCAGCCTGTGATGGTGTAAAGCAGAGTGGTGATTTTTTTTTTAAATAACAAAAATCTAGTAGATCAGTAAAAAACCAATAGATAAAAATGTTGATAAACAAATTGATACTTTCAGGCTTCACTGAAAATTATTCTGTGCTTTCTTGGACATTTGGGTCTCAGTTCAAGTTAAACATGTAATCGTTGCCTGTAAAACTGAACTTGGAATTAAAAAACAGTGCTGAAGCAGTAGCCAGTGCACTGAATATTTGTAGATTAAATTCCACCATTTTCTCCATAAAAATACACTGCAGTCTTCATTTCTGAGAAGAGTTTTCTTCCCTCTAAGC